TCTCTCTCTCTCTCTCTCTCTCTCATAAATAAATAAATAAATAAAATTAAAAAATAAAATGAAGACTAAAAAGGGATGTAGCTCAGTGTGATGATCCTGGGCTTACCCCCCCCACGCCAATACCCAGAGAAAAGAGAGAAGCGGGGGAGAGGGGGGAGGAGGGAGGGAGGACACTCATAAAAGTGACTCAGGAGCACTGTGGGAGATATTCCCAAGGAAAATGATGAGAAAGGTGGTAATTTCTTGTGGGGCTGGGGAGATGGCTCAGTGGAATAAGCGCTTCCCTGGCAAGCGCAAGGGCCTGAATTCAATCCCTGATTCTGCCAAAAAAAAAAAAAAAAAAAAAAAGATAGCCAATTGTTAAAATAAGAAAACCTAATAAGGACAATAGTGACAGTTTATAGATTGTCAGGAGAGTAAAATTAAATCACTCAGGTACATGGCACATAGTACTCAATAAAAAAATGGCTATTGTTTATATGCTTTTGAAATTCACTTGACGATGACCTACTCTGCACCTCCTCTTCCCTGTCTCTTCTTCCTGCTCCCTTTTCTTCATTTCTCACCAGAGTTTTCTCAATAAATGTATCTAGTAACTAAGAGTGCCGTGCAAGCCTGAGCTCCTTCGGGCTGCAGCCCTTTGGGTGTGGGCAGCAGAGCTGGGTCCACGCGACCCCCCGTGGGCGGCTTCACTGCCACACGTGCAGGCTGGCAGGCGTAATCCCCCGTCTGAACACTCTTCTCTTCTGGCACCTGGTTCCTTCTGCACTTGGACACGGCTTCATAGGAGTGTCCTTCTTCCGTGTGTGTGTGGGGGGTGTGTGCGCGTGTGCGCGCGCGTGCGCATGAGGATGTTGCGCTAAGCGAGAGGACTTTATAGCATGATGCTAAAGACGTGGGGAAGCAAATGGGATCGCGATGTGATGTGTGTGTGCTAACAGCCGCATGAATGTATTCGTTATGGATCGCCAGTATACTAATAAAAGAGTTTTTATAAACAGAGTGGAGACATTCTTATTTATGTCACCTTGCGAATTTTATTTATTTTTACAAAACTCTGGTTTCCTGATCTGTGGAATGAAGACTGTATTACTAGCAGTGGTGGTCCCATCGCGAGGTTATCATGAGATGTAACTAAACAACGTATGGGAAGCGTGAGTGCGGGGGCTCAGTGGAGTAAGTGCTTGCCTGGCAAGCGTAAGGTCCTGAGTTCCATCCTTGGTACTGCCAAAAAAAAAGCACGCGTGCACTGCTGTGCCGGGGCCAGAGGTGCCCTTGGGTCACTACTCCAATTCTTCCTCCTCGATTCCATTCTGGTGCTTTTGTCCCTTGGGGTTCACTACTCTGTTTACTAAATTTCAATTCTAATGAAAGAAAAATTCTTCAAATACTCTTTGGAGATCAAATCCTACCAGGAGCAAAGTCTTCCCTACTAAACACAAGCATAATTCTTTTTTTTTTTTTTTTTTAATGTATTTAGTACAAGGTCTACAGGGTCTCCCTGCACAGCTCGGACTCCTAGTGATCCTCCTGCTTTCAGCCTCACAAGCGCTGGGATCACAGGTGTGCACCACCACGCCCAGTCTTTTTATTTTATTTTTAAAAGAATGCAAAATAGTGATAGAAAAAAGCAGTGATACAAAATTTCTCTGAACAAAGTAATAGGAATTCAGCAGTGGCTGCTGCAGGGCATAATGCCATCTTCAAATCAGCTGTTCAGATTACCAGATATAAACATGCAAAATTACTTTAAAGAAAAAACAAAACAA